TGAAGTGAACTAAAACAAACAGGGTCATATTTGCTTTGTTCAAATGGTTCTTTTGGGGGGACAGGGGTTAGGGTTAGGATTAGGGGTAGGGGTTAGGGTTAGGGTATGAGATAGGGTTGGGATTCAGGTTAGGATTAGGGTAATTACTCATTTTACTATATTTTGGTCACTTCACCTTTACTTAAATGTGCACATAATTTTGTCTGCTTTATCAAGTGGTGTAGAAATAATTGTGTTGTTATAATAATGTAGAGATACAATGGCAAGACCCATACATTTGTTTCTGGATGAATCACTCATCCAATTTCTGAGACACAGGGAAACATGTTGACTAGTTTAATAAGTCATAAGCTGCAGCATCCAATTCTTTAAATTAAAAAAGATGAAGTAGTTTGCGCAGATGGTATGCAAGAACCAGAGAAACAACTATGATAGTTAGCAAAAGACTCCTGTTCTGACTCCTTGACTTGATGGAGGCTGTTAATAATGGAAGGACTGGAAATCTAAAGACTATTATCTGTTTCCTAAGAAATGTGAGTAAAATCAGTACAGATGAGCAGCTGTGGGAAGAGGAGCGGTAGATGCAGGGGTGAAAGAAATGCAGTTGTTCCAGACTGTGTGTCCTGGCCTCACCCCTATATCTTTCGTTTTTCAATTTCACTGCCTTAGGCACTCTTGTGGCATAAAAGTAAAATTGTTATTTTCCAGTCGGTCTTAACTATCCAACATTTCACAGTTTAACAAATATCATATGAGGATTAACAATGCCCTACTGTTTCTAATCACTGTAGTCCCACATAACTTTTATCATCAGGAATGTTGGAGAAATGATTCCTTCTGCCTGTCTCACTCAACATACTTAATGTCTTGTATAGAAATTTTTGGTTTTTCTAGTTGTCAGTTAGAGTTTTGCTTATTCATTTCATATGTTTGCTGGGAGTTGAAACCAGAGCCTCACTAAGCATATGCTGTATCTCTAAGCCATACTCTAACCCCTATTTGTGTTTTATTAACATATTAATGTGTTTATAGGCTTCATATAGTCCTAACTGAAACATATATGCCAGTATTTGCACTATTCTGGAAAAACATACCCGTAAGTTTCACTCCATTACTACGTTAATAATAATAATTTTGTGTGGCTCACACTGACTTAAGAGCAATTAGAGAATATATTTATAGCCCTGTTATAGTGTAGTAACCAAACATTAAAAATGTACATGTTACCAAAATGATTTCTTTTAACACTTGGCAACTGCCCTCCCATAAACACTCTTCAACAGATGAACACATTAGCATACCTAGTTCCTTGTACCCAAGACTCCCCACAGCACATTAACTAATAACATGGATTGGACCCTTAATTTGTTTTTTATGAAAAATGATTATTTAATAAGTCAATAACTATTTACTTAGTTTCTTTCCCATTTAAACGTTATCAACCCTAATCAAATTAGAAGATCACTGATAGATTCAAATTGTCTTTAGATAAATCCCCAAGGGGAAGAGTGGATATATCTCTCCTGTTGTGGACAATAAAGAAAAATAAGTAAATAGAAAATCCCAGCTGAATATCTCTAGAAATCCCTGCACACAACCTAGTTTGTGTTTGAAAGGGAAACATGTAAAAAAAAAATCCCTGTGATCAAGGTACTGTTCCTTAATAAATCTAAATGAGAACAAAAAATTAACCACATAGGAAATAATAAGCAACTCATAGCATTCCCTGGGTTGAAAAAGAGAAACCACTTTTATGGTGTTTGAATTGTCCAAGAACTAGCCCCTGACACAAACAGAAACAGAGTAGAAGAGCAAGATTACAATTATCTGAAGGCCCCTTTAGAATATGTCTCATCAATATTGAGATACTATCATCAGGAAACATTTTTTAAAATCACTAATAATACTAGCAAAGTATTAATAAAGGCTAACAAAGTATAATTATGATAGTGTCAATAGTCACAATTATTTCTAGTAATGGGGATATATATATGTTAAAGGATTTTTACAACTAAAGAAAAATATATGCTAATTAGGAAAATATTTAATATGTCTATCTCATTAATTGAAATACATTTAGTGACCAACAAAATAGATAAGCAAGCTTAAGCACATTATAATCTTTCTACTTTGTAATGAGGTATTTATTTATTTGTGTGTGGATGTATGCATGTGTGCATATATATGCATGTGTACAAGCAGACGTGTGTGTGTCCTGGGTGAGTATAGACATCTATGTGTGAAGATCAAAGGACAACTTTCAGAAGTCAGTTCTCATAATTAAGCTCACATGGTCAGGTTTGTTTTCCAAGCACTGCTACCAACTGGTCCATCTCAATGGCCCTAATTATTTACTTATTAACATTTTAACCTGATAGCCATTATAGACCCATTGTTTTTCTGATGATGGAGGACCAAAACTGCCAGAGCCAAAACCTTCTTTGCCAGGTTCTACCACCCCTGACTCCTTGGAAAGCAACTTCTCCCTCTGGTCCATTTAATCCCCACTCAGACTCTGAAGCTGCCATTGGAACCCATTGGAGCTTTCAGAATGTTTAGACCTATGGGGCTCAGCTCACTTAGCATCAGAATCACTGTTTTTTTAAAATGCAGATTTTTGGTACCAGCATTAGAAATAACTGTTAAATTTGATTATATTTGGTTATAGCGAGGCTCAGATTGTTTTTTTTAAAGAGCTCAGGCATCTTTGATGTTCTGCCAAAACTGGGAAATACTCCACTCATTTCAATGTACTTTCAGTCCACTACAAGGCCAAATTGAATGCCAAAGCTATATTCAAGGGCATAAGTAATAATGTCATAAATTAAACAGATACAAGACAGTAATGAAATATTCTGAGTGTCCTCTTTTGACGCCTGAAATCTATGCATCCAGGAAACACATTATTATTCAAAGATGTTCTTATTACAAATGTGTCAGCATTATGTTAGTCTGACATGGCATTTTAGTAAAGTGTTATATCCCAAATTACATTAATTTAGGTTAATAAAAATATAAACTATCTAATCCAAGTTCTAGAGAAGCTAAACCAGGAGGACCACAATCTTAAAGCCAGCCTAGTCCATGTGAAAAGACCTTGCCTCAAAAAGCAGACAAAACAAAACAAAGCAAAAACCACAGGGGAGCAGCAAAGGTAGGAATTAATGAGCCAGCAGTCGATATGCTGTCTTAAAAATTCAACAACTGGATGAGAAGTTAGAGTCAGCCACTATTTATTCACATTTTTCCTTTCAGGTCCTTTTCATGCTTGTTTTATGAGGCTCACAAAATAGAATGTGTATGAAGGTTTAAAAATGTTTTTAAGCTCCATGTTAAAACAAAAAAAAATTGTGTTTTGTTAATTTGTTTTTTGTTCGCTTTTAAACAAAAATAAAAAACTGGAGCAATGCCATTAGGGATGTGTTTATCTAGACGACCAGGAAATACTTGACCACATATAAACCCTCATGGAGTCTGATCTCAACAGATGTCCTTTCTAAGCACCTGTTAGAGTCAGCTCTGTTGCTGTTTCATTAGATGGGATGGAGTTTAACTTTCCAAAAGCAAATGACAGTTGGAATGTTAGGAATGTGCATTTGCTCATGTTCCATTCTAGCTCACTAGCTCCTGGACCACTCTGGTGACCTTTGGACTGTGTCGATAATGAGAGACATCTGCAAATACTCTTGGATTCATCAGCTTTGTTTATAAAGGTTCATTCAGAGTAGTTGAATTCATACAATAAGCAAATAAAGAAAGACTAGTATTTTTCTGCTTGTTGTCGCGCACTCTGGATTGGCTGTCAACAAGGGGCTTATTTGAAAAGTAATTGCAAATTGAAGAGGTTTGAAAGCTTGTCTAAGAAGCTGTTTCATGTGCTTTGCAGTATAACTTTTCATGATGTGCTTAATTATATTGGAATAACTAAAAATGTCAGAAACTGTAACACAGAAGGTGCCATGACTGGGTTGGAAATGATTAAAACTGTGTCTGTACCATTTCCTCAAGTATATTCTTCATACCTGTGCATAGTACACTGCTCGATTGAGTCGTATTGGCCTGAAGGTCAAGGGTCATACACAGTGATTTCAACACTTCGATTTTGAGACAGCTGAATGTGGTCCTGACCTGGCTTAGTCAGTGGGTTGATCATCTTCACCTTTAAGCCTTCCTGCCCTTTCTAAAAACAGCAGGGCCTTTAACCAGGAGATATTTTAAGCAGTGCACACTCAGTCTTCTCATTGGGTAGAAGCATATTTTGGCCTCTTGCCCGTGTCAGATTGGCATGTGTGCACTTAGACTTGGATGCTGGTCCATGCTTCTCACCACTCATATAAGAAACTTGCAAACACAAAGACAGATACTGGGATTGCTAGCAGAGAGTCCGAGAGTAGATGTAAGCGGAGGAAGGACCTTTATTAGGGCTGTGACTGTGCTCCTGGGATCATCCATCAGTGCTCAGCTTTTTGGACCTGTTTTCCTAAAACCTGGCTGAGATTTCACTCCAGAGACACCGCACTTGTCTCTGGATCCTGCCACTCTTGATAAATACTTAGAGAAGACACTGCCAATCTGTGAATAAGGGAAACTAATGAGAAACTGCTACCTAAAACCTGAACAGCAAAACCAAAACCAAGCAAACCCAACAAATCCAAAACAAATCCAAAAGAGAGCAACTCAAACAGTCCACACTCACAAGAAGACGCGTAGAAAAAACACGGAGATGTGAGTGGTTTGCTAGCTGAGCTTATCAGTCACTTGACAGGCAGGCACTGGACACTCTGTATTTTTTGCTCATTTGAAAACAAGTGCAAGTCTATGTTATTCTGTACAGCTGGGACCAAAAAATTATGAGTATGAGAAAACACAGACTCTAAAAGCAAAATGGAATTGAGGCAGGTAAAGCCTGGGCAGCAGTCTTGCCATTCCAGTACACTCATACCTGGTACTCGTGTCTGCACCTCTAAGAAATTTCCATTTTTTCACATCAAAAAATCCAGATATGAAGCCGAAGCTGCCTTCTTCGCCAACCTGAAGCTTTCTGATTTCAACATCATCGACACCCTTGGAGTTGGAGGTTTCGGACGAGTGGAGCTGGTAGGTGAATTTTGTTTGAATACTTTCCAAAGCATTTCTTATTCCTCACATTTTTTTTCCTAGCCTGAGATCTCTTTCTCCTCCCCTCTTTTACCTCTCATTATTAGCTATTGTTGCTCTAACTCAGAAGCAGACACCTCCATGCAGGCATGGCAGATTGCTTAGCAGTGTGGGCTAGGATATGAAGTCAGTGGACTCCAAACTAACTGCAACCTGCTTTTTAGAAAACTCTTTGTAGCGAACACGGGCTAACCACATTAATTTAATGGGGAGACTTGAGTCACTTTTTGCCCCCAATTGTCTATGATTGTTTTACTTCCTTCCTTTGTTCTGATCTAATTATGCTACAATTAAATGAATGTAAATGTAAACATAGAAAAAGAAACTGAAATATATAGTATATATCTACATATCTATAAACATGGTTATATTTTTATGTGCTACATATATGTATAAAATAAATGTAGTGATAATAATTCTATGATTCCATGACTATAAGCATCTGTGTAGATTATAGTGATAATGGTTTGAATGTTTTGTGTAGTTTATGTAGTTTATTTTACATTATATATGTTTTATGTAATTTAGTTCACTAGATAAAAGTATACACTATATGGGATATGATGACATTTTTGTCCATTTGTTAAATTTATTGTCTGAAGCATGTTGTATGAATGTGGTATAAACAACATAAAAAATGTAACTCTATTTTGCATTTGTTTGAAATAGGAATTTTTAAGCTGCTTATTGCAAGAAAAATTAGGAGAGAAAATATGTCCTGGTGACTGAGGTAGCTACATTCCAGATACAGATTCACTTCTATCTCTCTGCTGAGCATGAGGGAGTCCCTGATAGGAGATGCTAGTACAGTATGTTAGGAACTCCCCAGTGCTGTGTGAAGTGCAGTCAAAAGATACGGTTGCCACCCGAGGTCAGGAGGAATCCCTTCCATAAAAGTCAAGCACCCAGAGCTATTTTTATGTTTGTTTGTTTTGCTGTTGGATTCCCTGGCTTTGATGCAGGGAAAGATGTCATTTGCTGGAGTATTAGAAAAGTTCTTAGCACTGAATCTGTATTATATTTCCTGTAATATGGACTAAAAAGCTAAAATAATTACTACCATTTCTGCATGAACGTCCAAAATGTGCCTGTGAAGATCTGGTTGTTATTAATTACGGCTATAAAATTCAAGTAAGGATCCAGAGAATAAACAAACCTTTCTGCTTTTCTGAATTTTGCTGACTAACGGAGCTTATACTAGGTTTTTTGTTTGTATGGTTTTTTTGTTTTTGTTTTTGTTTTTTTGGTTTTTTTCCTGCTGGTATAAACACCATGCCCAAAACCAACTTTAAGGGGAAAAGAATCTTGTGGGATTAACAGGTCTACAGTCCATATAAAGGACAGAATTCCTTTGACCAGTGATTCTCAATCTGTGGGTCACGATCTCTTTGGGCCACATATCACATATCCTGTATATCAGATATTTACATTACGTTCATAACAGTAGCAAAGTTACAGTTATGAAGTAACAACGAAATAATTTTAAGGTCAGGGGTCACCACAGCATGAGGAACAGTATTTAAGGGTCACAGCATTGGGAAGGCTGAAGTGTCAGCCTTAGAAAATGATTTGGAGGCTGTTTGATATAATTCCTTAAAACCAGTTTTAAAGACTATGGGACAAGGAGGGGAAGATGTTTAGGAGCACACACTTCCCAGCACCCACACAGACCTCCACATCCAGGTGATGTTATGATCTATCCTGACCTCTACAGACAATGCTCTCCCTCCCACATGTGCGTGCATACACACACACACACACACACACACACACACAATTAAAGATAAAGCCTTTAATAAAGACTATGAACAATAAAATAGCTGCTTGTTGACAAAAAAACAAAAAACAAAATGTCTGTGAATTTAGAGAATAACTTCAAGTTACTTGCTTTGTGGAATATGAAGATTGTCTAAGGGTATCTGGAATATTGAAACTACTTTATAACAGCTTCAAAAACAGTTGTGAGATTACCTCAAGTAGAAAAACTTAATACTGGCTTGAAAATTGAAAACTTGTAAAATATTCTCTGAAAATATATAAGAAGCACAAAGAAATAGTCACAAAATTTAGGGAAGTTTAATCACATAAAAAGAAATGCAGTTTTTCAAGGCAAAATATGCATATGTATGTTCATTTATAGCCCTTCATGATAAAGGTCTTGGAGAGAGCAGGCATACAAGGAACATACCTAAACATAATATACAACAAACCAACAGCCTGCATTAAACTAAATGGAGAGAAACTCAAAATGATTCCACTGAAATCAGGAATGAGACAAGGCTGTCCACTCTCTCCGTATCTCTTCAATATTATACTCTAAAGTTCTAGCTAGAACAATAAGACAACAAAAGGAGATCAAGGGGATACAAATTTGAAAGGAAGAAGTCAAACTTTCACTATTTGCAGATGATATGATAGTTTACATCATTACATTGCATTATATTACAAAAATTACCCATGTTCTTAACTGATGAAGTTTGCAATGTGTTCAGTATGATGTGTTCACTATATATCTTCCAGAAAACCAATTCTTTCTGCAATGTCACTCATATGTTTATCATATGCATATAACTTCAATCTTTAAGTGCTACTAAAAGGTAACTAAATAACATTTTATTGTATCTCAATGAGCAAGGTATGATTGTAAAATAGTGAGAAATATGTTCCATTGCTTTATAGTAACATCCATAATCTATTTCACTTCTGTTTCTGTCAGAGCACCTGTTTTCAGAAAAGATTTGCCCATGAGTCAGACAAACAGTTGTGTAACCTGGCAACATTAGTGGTTGTTGCAGTAAATATTAATTTATTCTGTAATCCTAAGATTTCCTGTACCCATAAAACATACCCTGCTAAAATATAAAAACGAAATATAAGGAGGACATAAAGCTTCACTTTCTTGCAATATGTATATATTTTTTCTACATTATGGGAGATTTAAAAGTTTAATTAGAAAAATTGCTCCTGGCTTTGGGAACTCACAGTTTGCTTCAAAGAGAGTATAAGATTAAACCATAAGCAAAGTAGGAGAGGCACAGGTTGGTGCATAGACGAGGAAGACTGGTGTCCATACCAAGCAAAGTGAATGGAGCACTATAGTAAATACTTGTGAAACCAAAGCATAAGAAAGAACACAGGCTTCCTCATAACATCCCACACCTTACTAACATGATCAGCCTTTCATTTGAGCATGCTTTATCATCTTCAAGTTCAAGCCCAGTTTATAATTCTGCCCTTGTAACTGCTCTGGGAAGAGAACATGGGGTGTGGTTCGTATCTCACAGGAAAACACCAAGAAGATGCTTTGGAAGTAACAGAAGTCCATACAGTGGGAACTATTTCCATTGCCCAAAATGACAGCTTTTTGTTTGTTTGTTTGTTTGTTTGTTTGTTTCTAACTTAGAAGCTTTTCTGCCATTCTGGCTTCAACCAATGTTGAGATTCTTCCCACTACTTCTGTGAAACAAAAGAAGTGTGAGTGTTTTTGTCCATTTCTTTTCCAGTTTCTGTGATAGATTACCCTGGCCAACACAATGTAGGGGAGAAAAGATTTATTTGGTTGACAATTCCAAGTCACAGCCCATCTTTGCAGGAAAATCAAGGCAGCAGGAACTTGGCAGCTTTTGCACTCAGCATCTGTCAGAAGCAAAGAGCAGGGAGTTGATGCATGCTTGCTTTCAGTTTTCTCCACCATTGCTTAGTGCCAAAGGTCCTGCCTAGGAAATGGTGCCACCCGCAGAGGATAGGCCTTGTCACCGCAATTAATAGAATCATCCCCAGAGACAGGCCCAGAGGCCAATCTATTCTAAAGTGTCCCTCATTGAGACTTCAGGTGATTCTAGATTGTGTCAAGTTGACAATTAAAATCATCACAACCATTGACATTAAAAAAAAATGTTTCAGGGCCAGTGATATGGCTCAGCAGAAGAAAAAACAATGTGAAAGTCTAACACTTGAGTTTGACTCCACCCAAATGTGGAAGGGAAGAACTGACTCCATGAAATTGTCCTCTTACCTCCACAAGAGCATCATGGCACGTATGTGCCCCCACTTACACAGCATACACACAACACATACACACACAGAGAAATAATATATTTTTTCAATTTTTTCGAGATCCTGAACTAAACTTAATATAGAATGACCGTGGTGATTGATCTCTGATATGTACATTACTTTGTCAAACTTCTAGATACCTCTTTCCCTAATATTTTGCCATTCCTATTTTTGGAGGCAAAAATGGCTGTAGAGGAAAGATAATCAGCTAACAGTAATAATAATAATCTAGAGCTAAATGTTGAGCTGTGCATGCTTAGTCATTTATTTTCCTGAGCCTCAGTTTCCTTTCCTGCTAAATTAACATGATAATATAATATATCCCTCATGAGGTTGTAACAACTAAAAGAATTACAGTCACCACAGCACCATAATATATTATATTTAGTATTGTGTATTATGTATTTGGTATTATGCATTTCAATGTAATTTTTCCTGTAATGATAAATGTCACTTATTAAAATACACTCATGGTAGCCATCTTGATTTATCATTCCAGCTTTGTTAATATGGAAGAATTGTAAAGGAATGGTTTTCTTTTCTTCTCCCGATTGCTAAACCACATTTCTTCTCTCAGAGTAAAAACCTGAGGTCTTTCTGTGACCTTCAGTGATAGATGCTATTAAATTCTCCTGCACCACTAAAGCTTTTTATTTTCTGATCTACCATGAGAAATGATGGAAAACAATTTCCAATCTTCCTTGTGTCGACCTGTGGGTGCCTAAAGTAGCCTCCCTTTGTTTCTCTATTTTTCTTCTAAGCTGCAAAGCCGAGCTCTCGGTAAGGAATGGTTTTCAGTGCAGAGCACAGGGTCACAGCTATTTGCTTCTTACCCCTTTTAAACCAGGCTATTCTAAATGGACAGACGAGAGCTGGACCCTTGC